GATAGAGTGAGAAATTCTTGGGCTGTCACAGGGGAGGGGCCCCTCTGAGTATAACATGTGTCTGTAGCTTGGGTTTGTTTCCTGGCTCAGGTCCTACAGAACTCATGTTCAAGCCCTTTGGAAAATGGAGTGTTACAAGTGAGAGTTTTAAAATATAGTTAAATAAAACTCTGTAAAACTCTGGAGCCTAACTATCTCTGCCTCAGGATCCCTCTAACACAGCATCTACAAAGGGGAGACTTTGGTTGGGTCATTGCAGTTGGCAATGAATGGAGCTGCACTGACTTAGTAGTGGCGTTTACTGAAGTGATCCACACAGTAATAAAAAGGAGAGACTATCCAGGTATCCAAGCGCAGAAACCAGGCCTCATGTCCACTGTCTGTGTTTATCGTGGACAGGACAGTTTTAGGGACAAGGCAGTTTTAGGGACCACGGGACCATGAGTCTTCCTTCCAAATAGACACCGTTATTAACATGATTCAGGTACTCTCTGTATGTTGGTTTTCTTCTTCATCCTTAATCATTTTTCTGACAGCAATGTTTGAGTTGCTTCATTCTTGGCTTCCTAGTTCTAACCCTCAAGCTAGAATAACCACCAATCCTGTCTGGACAATGTTTCACTCTAGGCTAAGTCAGAAGCCACTAGTATAGCAGTAGGCTGCCCATAGCTCTGGGGCCCATCCTAGTTCAGCCAGCTGGGCTCAGGGCATGGGGTCATGCAGCATGTTATCATGGCTTGCTTTCAAGACACTTGCTTCAGCAAGGGCTGTGGAGAGGGCGGCTTCCCTTAAAAGTTGGGGCTGTTGGCACAGCAGGCACTAAGAGAAATGCATTCTCCCTCAGAATACTGTCAGCTTTGGCACAGAGCAGGTGTTAACAAAACATTGTTGACAGTGCCTATGGAGGAGAGCAGTGGGGAAGTGGCCGAAGTGTTGAGGCACAGTGAGCCTGTGATAGAGACAGTGCTCAGTAGAGCAGCCATGGAGAGCAGAAGGCCCTGGCACAAATGTGCAGCCTTGAGTGCCTACTGGGCCCACTGTGTGCCAGACCCTATGGACAACAGGAAAATGTAAGACATGGCTGCTGTCCTCAAGGAAGTCATGGCACGTATAGGTGAAAAGTTTGTAAATATTTTTTAAAAAGTAAATACAGGTAGAGGTAAATCCCCATGACACAGGTATTGACAGGCCAATGGTCATTTTCTTTAGCCCACTTATTTGAAGGCTCCCTCTTCAGGTCCTCCACACTTACCACTAGGAGTGAGAAAGTAAGACGAAGCATTTAGTTAGAGCACATGAATTTATATAAAATTCNACTCCAGACTACATCTATACCACTGTGCTATGGGCGACTTAATAAATCATAGCCATGTGCCGAACACTATTTTCTGAGAAAGATATATATACATCAATAAAAGTATAGAAATTAATATATATATGTGTGTATACATACATATACACATTTATTTGATCCTCACAGCAACGCGAGATCAAGCAAACATCCAAAAAGGAAAGATATGGAAGATCTGAGCAACAAAATTATCAACTGACCTAATGGACCCATATAGAATTCTGCACCCAATATTTGGAGAAAACACATGCTTTTTAAGCACAAAGAAAATTTACAAAAAATCTTGAAAATTTTCAAATTATCAGAATCATGCAGACCACTTTCTATGACCACAATTCAATTAAGTTAGAAATAAATTGAAAAATAACAACAAAAAAAACCTCTCATATATTTGAGAATTTTAAAGCACATTTAAAAACTCATGGACCAAAAAATAAAGCATAAGAAAAACTAGAAAATATTTATAACTGAACGATAAGAAAAATACATTTCAAAACTTGCTAGATGCAGCTAGAGTGATGCTTAAAGAAACATGTATAGTCTTACATGCTTATTTTAAGAAAAGAAAAAACGTATAACTGAACGATAAGAAAAATACATTTCAAAACTTGCTAGATGCAGCCAGAGTGATGCTTAAAGAAACATGTATAGTCTTACATGCTTATTTTAAGAAAAGAAAAAACGTTGAAAATTAATAAGCTAGGCATCCAATTTAAGATGTTAAGAAAAGAATGATGAGCTGGAAGCAAGAAGAATAGGAGGTAAATAAGAAAAGTAGAAATGCCTAAAATAGATATCATTCTCAATTATGATTAGCTGGCAATAGTCTCTGAGACTCAGAAAGTGGAAAGAGTATTTTTAGAAAAAGTAAGAAAAGCGGCTATCACATACATACTTGTATACTCTCTTCTATCTGCAGCTCCTTCAATGGATTTTACAGAAAGGATTAGAAGATACTTGCTTTTTAAATTTATTTTTTAAAGCATTTATTTTTTCCAATAATTCAAGAAACATATTTTCAAAGGAAATTTTTGAAAATACAGTCTTGAACAATGTAAAGAAATATAATTCACAATCTTATCATCAGGTGATAATTATTAACTGTTAACTTTTCAATATTTTTACAATCTTTTGTCTATGTATCTCAATGTTTGTACATGTCTACGTGTATTATATGGTTAGTTAAAAATTCGGGCTCAAACTGCACACATATTTTTATCCAGTTTCTTTACTTGAAATCGCATCATCAGCATATATTCTTCAAATGTAGAATTTTTGGTGGTTTTGTTAAAATTTAATTTTACTGATAGAGACACCATACTGCTTTTGGCTGTACACCTGTTGTTAGAGCATGTTTTCAGTCCTGTGGTGCAGTCATTCATCTGACATCCATTATAGTGCAGTCAATGTACGGGACCATATTGAATCTAAACAAGATTTGGACAGTCTGAGTGTGTCAACAAACTGGTGGAGTTGACCCACAAAAAGTCTGTTTACAAGAGGGCTCAGAAGTCTTTGGGAGAACTTAAAAAAGAGGGTGCTGGACATGACAAGTTTATGGGCCTGATAGAGTGAGAAATTCTTGGGCTGTCACAGGGGAGGGGCCCCTCTGAGTATAACATGTGTCTGTAGCTTGGGTTTGTTTCCTGGCTCAGGTCCTACAGAACTCATGTTCAAGCCCTTTGGAAAATGGAGTGTTACAAGTGAGAGTTTTAAAATATAGTTAAATAAAACTCTGTAAAACTCTGGAGCCTAACTATCTCTGCCTCAGGATCCCTCTAACACAGCATCTACAAAGGGGAGACTTTGGTTGGGTCATTGCAGTTGGCAATGAATGGAGCTGCACTGACTTAGTAGTGGCGTTTACTGAAGTGATCCACACAGTAATAAAAAGGAGAGACTATCCAGGTATCCAAGCGCAGAAACCAGGCCTCATGTCCACTGTCTGTGTTTATCGTGGACAGGACAGTTTTAGGGACAAGGCAGTTTTAGGGACCACGGGACCATGAGTCTTCCTTCCAAATAGACACCGTTATTAACATGATTCAGGTACTCTCTGTATGTTGGTTTTCTTCTTCATCCTTAATCATTTTTCTGACAGCAATGTTTGAGTTGCTTCATTCTTGGCTTCCTAGTTCTAACCCTCAAGCTAGAATAACCACCAATCCTGTCTGGACAATGTTTCACTCTAGGCTAAGTCAGAAGCCACTAGTATAGCAGTAGGCTGCCCATAGCTCTGGGGCCCATCCTAGTTCAGCCAGCTGGGCTCAGGGCATGGGGTCATGCAGCATGTTATCATGGCTTGCTTTCAAGACACTTGCTTCAGCAAGGGCTGTGGAGAGGGCGGCTTCCCTTAAAAGTTGGGGCTGTTGGCACAGCAGGCACTAAGAGAAATGCATTCTCCCTCAGAATACTGTCAGCTTTGGCACAGAGCAGGTGTTGACAAAACATTGTTGACAGTGCCTATGGAGGAGAGCAGTGGGGAAGTGGCCGAAGTGTTGAGGCACAGTGAGCCTGTGATAGAGACAGTGCTCAGTAGAGCAGCCATGGAGAGCAGAAGGCCCTGGCACAAATGTGCAGCCTTGAGTGCCTACTGGGCCCACTGTGTGCCAGACCCTATGGACAACAGGAAAATGTAAGACATGGCTGCTGTCCTCAAGGAAGTCATGGCACGTATAGGTGAAAAGTTTGTAAATATTCTACTTCAAATTTTTTTTAAAAGTAAATACAGGTAGAGGTAAATTTTAAAAAGTAAATACAGGTAGAGGTAAATCCCCATGACACAGGTATTGACAGGCCAATGGTCATTTTCTTTAGCCCACTTATTTGAAGGCTCCCTCTTCAGGTCCTCCACACTTACCACTAGGAGTGAGAAAGTAAGACGAAGCATTTAGTTAGAGCACATGAATTTATATAAAATTCCTACTTCAAATTTTTTTTAAAAGTAAATACAGGTAGAGGTAAATCCCCATGACACAGGTATCGACAGGCCAATGGTCATTTTCTTTAGCCCACTTATTTGAAGGCTCCCTCTTCTAGTCCTCCACACTTATCACTAGGAGTGAGAAAGTAAGACGAAGCATTTAGTTAGAGCACATGAATTTATATAAAATTCTTTTTGGCTTATCCGTATCACTACTTTCCTCATTGAGTGTTGATTGAAGTGTCGTTCCATGATGTCTACAGATAGTCAGTGTTGGGAAATATGTGAAAAGAGCATTTGGCTTTAAAGGTTGAAAAATAGGAAACTTTTAATAGTAAAGATCTGAGTTTTTTAAAAATTATAGTAAAATGTATTCAATAAAGAAAACTTGGAAAATATCAAAAAGTAGAAAGAAAGGTCATCTATGACCCAAAATGACCATAGTTGACATTTTGGTGTGTTTCCTTCTAGATTTAGTTTTTATCTTAAATTTTGATTATTTGATATTTTGCTTATTTTAAATAGTTATGCTTATACTGTAAACATAAACTTGTAACCTGCTTTTTCATGTAGCATTATTTATAATCTTCAAAAATTCACTTGTAATGACCGTATAATTTTACAACTAATGTACCCCTCTTTATTTAATCCTTCCCCTAAAGTTAGAATTTTGGGGTATTTTTAATTTTCCTGAGTATTAAACAATGTTGCAATATACAATTTCCATAAAGTTTTATCTCATATTCTTATTTATTTCCATAGTATAGATTCTTGGGAACAAATGTGCTTGATCAAAGGATATAAACATTTCTAAATCTCCTGACACATATTACTTAGAAAAAAATTCTAAATGGAAGTGTGGGATGATTGGCACTTCCAGTGAGGATTGTAAATTTCACAAATGAGCATAATAAACACCAAATGGAGAAAACACCGTCACCTGAATATTGCCCTCGAGTCTATACAATAGATATAGAACTTAGATAGGTGGCCAAGTCTTGATAATGGAATACCGTCTTGTACTTCTTCAAATGATTCCAGGCTACAGGAAAGAGTAAAAACAAAAGAAGTAAAGGTATGAATTTAGCTTGATTGATTATCCACAATCCAGGTAGAAACTTAAACATATTTTATATTCAAAACATGATTGAACGGGAAAATGTCTATCTGCAGCTGCTAGGAAGGGTTTATACATTACATGTTGATAAACAAAATGCAAGATATCTCATATGTGATTTATTTTTTTCTCTGGACTTGTTAAATAGGTTTAGCAGTTTCAACCATAACTAAATTAACATTAGTATTTTAACAGATGAAGTAGTTTCAGTAGGATAAAGACATATTTCGCCTCTTCAAAACCACTCGCTAATGCGCTCATTTAAAAGAAAAATTATTTCAATGGGATAAGGTTCTGAGCCTTTGATTATTTTATGAACAGGAGGATTTTAATAAATAGCAAAACTTATTTGTGTTTTGGGTTATCTTTACATAGAGCACTGAAATGCTGCTCATTCAAAACACTTAGGCTGTTTTCACCATACAACACAGTAGATTTTACAATTATTCAGTTGATCCAATCCATATAGATAAGCCAACAGACACAACAGGATATCAGAAAAAATTGAGATATTTGACATTGAGTAATGATGAGGGCAGTAGAAATGGGAAATATAGAATGGAATTCTAAAGACTTTTCAAACAAGACTAGTTGAATCCTGGGAAGTGGGGGTAAAATGGAAGAGGGACAGGTGCAGTAAGGATCTGTTACCTGGATTATGACTGAGTAGGTTCCACACGATATCTTAGATAATTGAATGACTACCCTGATGAGGCAGACGATCACTTGAAGCCCACTGAGGGTTATGAGAATGGAAAATAAAATGATGTTCCACTCTACGACATGTGCAGGTTCCAGGCACTGAATCCATATGCTGGAATCTGTGAGGAAACTGAGAGAGGGAAGGGAAATGGTTAACGAGACCCACTGCCAAGTCTACATACTTGCTCCGAGGATGAAGGCTACAGGAACTTATATGTTTGGGAAATTAATATATTTGATTGAATATATAGTAATATTAAATACTAATGAATATATTTAAAAATCATTCAGATACATATATTGAACACATTTTATACATAGCACTGAGCTAGACAGCTTATTGTGAATGCAATGCCCACCTTCAAGGCAATTCCAATTCAATTAGGAGGCAAGACGCGCACCAAAGAGTTCAATAGCAATAAAAGGCAGCTCGTATCAATACCAAGAGAGGTAGAGAGAGCCCATTCTCTAGGGTCCAGAAATTGGCCAGGGCTGTCAGGGACAGGGTTAAGCTTGCCCTGGGACATAAAATCACACATGTGACAAAATAGGAGATGTTCTGCTTGAAATTCCTCGGCTCTGTTCCAAAGCCAAGTGCTACTCAAAGTTGAGTCTGTGTCAGGATTATCTGGAGTGCTTGTTAAAATACAGGGCTTGCTGGACCCCACCAAGGGTTTCTGGTTCAGAAGGTCTGGATGAGGCTTGAGACTGCATTCCTAAGTCCCCAAGTGGTGCTGCTGCCATTGCTCTGGATTCACGTCATGAGAAACTCTGCTTTAGAACATTGCAGTCCCACAGCTGTGAAGAAGAGTTAGATTATGGGGTGGGAACACAACAAATCGAAAGTTTCAATCAGTCTAGTTCAGCACAGAAGTGTGAAAACTAAACCACTCCCAAGACAGTCTTAAAATCACGCTGAATCAACCTGACTCACTTCTAGTTGTGCAATGGCCTGCAGCATTTCTCTGTTCAACTAAATTGAAATGGAGAACTGCTCTCCTCAAAAAAAAAAAAAAAAAATCCCAAACAAAAGCAATCAAATACATTTATGGGGCATAGATGTTTACGTATATATGATATGTATCGATATCATATCATAGATGATATGTATATATATGGAGAGACAGAGAGAGAGAGACAAGCTGGCTCTTCTGAGAACAGCGTCAGGCAGTCTGAGTGCTGGCCAAGTGGCCGTGGGTGTTGGTGCCTGAGATTCATTCTGTGCTTTGGTAACCACTCTCACCACCACGACCTCTTCTTTTTTCTTTCTCCCTCCTCTATTTCTCTCCTACTCCCTTTCAACCTTCTTTTTTCTCCCTTTCTTGATTTCCTACTCTCTAATGCTCCAGGACACTCAGAGGCACTCTGAGAATTTCTTGATATTGCTAATGGCCCTTATATCAGGTGGTAAATGGCACTAAATATGAAGTCAGAGCTCTTGGATCTGTAAGACCTTGGGCAAGGGACTTGACCCCTCTGATCTCCAGAGTTTTATCTTGATAATGGCACTAAAACACCTAACCCCAGGGTTATTGTGAATATGCAGGGAGAAGTGTGTAAAAATGCTTTGGAACCTATAAAGCACAATACAGATGTGGTTTTCTGTTACAATTTTCCTAAACCCATCTCATACCCTCAGTCATAGCCACTGAGAAAACGCATATCTCCAAATCCTTACCTTAGACTGTTGCCGGTACCTGCTCTGCACAAATTATCCTACCCTTTACAACAAGAGGACTTGCAGGGTTTCTGTTTTTCTCCCAGACTGTGGTACTGTTTTTTCCTTCTCGTAAACTGCAGAGAATCATATGCACTAGCAGGGTCGGGAAGGAATAGAGAAGTTTCCCTGACACCCACTCCCTGCACAGCCTCCACACACAGCTCTGCCACAGCATTTACTTCATCTGTTGTATTTCTGTCTATACCTGTGTCTGTATCTGTACTTGTTTCCATTTCCCTCCCAGTCTGTTTACTCTGAGAGCACTGATTATATTTTACTCATTTCTTAATGGCCAGGTTTCTAAGACCTAAGGCAGTGCCTGACATATTGTAATGATCAACAAATATCTGTTGAATGAAAGCTGATGCAGGATCCTCACTAGCCAACATGCTAGTGGCTTGACCTTCTGGCACATGGCAGATGAAGCACGTCATATCAGAAAGGAATATGCAGGATAATGATGCTAATAATAAAACGTGGCATGCTGTGAGAATTTATTTCGTCTCACTTAATTCTCTATTCTGTGAGGTAGAAATGATTGTTATTCCCAACTTATAGAGGCTCGGAGATGTCCAGATATTTGTCTAAGGTCATTCATCTTACAACTAAGAGGTGTGGGGTGAGGACCTGAATCCAGATCTGTAAGCATCAAAGACCTGTGATCCAAGGGTAACATTTACCCTAAGGCTTCCAGCTCAGTACAATGTTCTGTCAGGTCTGAGTGAGTTTCTAAAGGGAAGGGAACCTGCGTAATTTATCTCTGATTTTCTAGCACCTAGCCTAAGGCCTGGACATAGGTGCTCAATAAATATTTGCTGAATAAATGCACAAATGCATAACTGAGATATTATTCAATATTAATACTTGTCTCCCCCTGCATTTACCATGACTTGGAAACTGATCTAGGAAATGAGAGACTTAGCTTCCTGGAATGGCCTCCAAACATTGTGTCACCTTTAAATATTTTCATATAGATGGAAAGGTGAAAGCAAACATCAAGGACAGCCTAAGGAGTAGTGAGCAGCCTGAGATTCATGCATTTGAAAGGGGAGTCTTCTTTGGTTTGGGGGTAGGGAAAAGTTCAGGAGTTGACAGCATAAAAAAGAGGTTTTCTGCACCCATTGGGAATTTCTACATGAGGGTCTTCTTTCCTAAGCCCCTTAAAACCCACAGGAGTGTCTCCCCCAATTGCTCAGTAAGGCCTGAAGTTATTGTCTAGATTCTCCTGACCTGTGGGAGAGCCCTGCTTACTAAAAGAGGCTATAGCATGTGGCACCTTGTGGAACCTTCAGAATAAAGGCAGCTATGGCACAGAAGCAGCTTTGCCGTGCAGGCCTCAGTGTGCATGTAAGACCTCAGACAGACATGGCCTTTGAACAATAGAGCCAGCCAATCATGGGGAGTTGAGAAGATGGACAGAAACATCCTCATTTTATTCCAACAGAATTTTGAGCATCAGATAAAGACAAAGAGAGAATCAGTGGGCCTCTCCTGTATCTCTTTCTGGGCGCTGCTACCTCCTGAGCTGCCTCTGTAGGTACTGGTAGCCCAATAAGCCCAGCACAAGGCCTGCGTGAGAAATTCTGAGATCCAGGATTGGGTTGCTCGACACCTGACTGGACTACCAGCCTTCTGAGCAAGGCTAACTCTCTAGATCCTTCTTCAGTACGTGGTAGGTAAGCTCCTGGCTCCTTCCACAAACTCCTGCACCTTGTCACATTCCTGGGTCTCAGACCACACTTCCCTGACCGCCCTGCTTGGTTCTATCTCTGTGTCTCTCCTGCTGCCATAGCCCAGAGTGGGGCCATCCAAGGGCACCATTATTCTCTCCCAGCCAAGACCTTTCCCACCTGTAACAGATCATGTGTCTGGCAACAAAACAAGACTGAGGCACTAGAACCACTCAGGCCCCAAGCTCTAGCAGTTACCAGACCACAATAACCATGAAGCCCTAATCCGAAGTATGCGAGAAACACACCTTTCATTTGGATATCTCCATGACAGCCTCAAAATGTTGAATGCATATGGTATTAAAGGACTGGAGAAAAAACATCTAAACAAAGATCAGTGCAGGAATAAGTTGGTCTGGATATTAGTAAACTAACAGGAAGATTCTGCACTATGGGAGCCACGTGGAGGCCCAAAGTGATCATGGAAAATAGGCAGGTGTTTCTCATTTTCTGACCTTCTTGGTTTGGGGAATTATTTCTTACCGTCCTGCAGTGCCTTCAAAGGCATACTCCCAGCCGTTGAGGGTGCGGCAGTATGGGCCCTGGACAAGACCCAAAGCAGAAATGACCAGGCAGTATCCGGAGAAAGCAATTCCAAGGGCAGAAAAGATCATTGACAGCAGTGTCTAAATTAAACATAGAAGAAGGTTAATGTCATAGAATGAGACAAGGGGATATTGTGGATAAATTATCAGATTAAGTACCTTCTCCTACTGATCCAAGCCCACTGCAATCTATGTGACATTGAATGCCCACATAAAAATGGAAAAATGTAATTCAAACCTATCTGATCTTAAAAATAAGTTCTTTAATGACTTTTTATTTGGTACCACATATAGGTAATTAGGCTATTTACTAATTTTCTTCCTTTTTTTCCTGGAATTTTGATATCAAAATAGAGATCACCTCTTACAGAAATGCAGTGAAAGGATGGGATCAATCCAAAAACAGTCAAAACACCTGTTATTTTCTAGGAAGGGTGGGTTCTCTAAGAATTACAGGCTATGACCCCTGCCTTTTCTCTTGTAAAGGTGATATTTTAATATCTGCATAGATGTTTTTATTCATACTCAGGTGAGGATAGGATTGATTGGGAGGACGGTGTTTTCATTAAAAGAATGAGCAAAAGTCATAGGCCAATGGGTGCAGGTGGAGTTGTCAGATAGTAGGCAGATGGTCTGATCTAAGAGGGGGTTCATTCAGATGAGTGAGGGGTGAAGCTTCTGAAGACCGGATTGGCATGGTGCTAATGCTGGGCAAATGGAGTTGATGGGACACAATTCAGCCTTCAAGTAGCTTACACAGTGACTGCAGCTTGGCAGATACGGGCCACGGATGGTCTTGAATGCCAGAGAAAGGAGTCTGGACTTTATTCTTCAGGGCAAGGGGCTTCCCACCCACCCCACCTCCCACAGCCTTTTATTAAAAGAAAATTTTCAAATCTATGACATCGAAGGTATAGTATTGTGCAATTAATGAACCCCTACAGACCCTTTACCTAGATTCACATACTGTGAATATTTTGCCATGTTTGTTTTTGTTTTCTCACTCTCCGTGTGTATGTGTATACACACACACATTTGTATATGTATACACATGTACATATATGTATGTGTACATACAAACATGTTTATTTATTTACACATTTTTATTGCTGAACCATTTGAAAGTAGGTTGCAGACATTATATCTCACCTCTAAATATATCAGCACACAACTCCTAAAAATAAAAATATTCTATTATTTTGTAACCGATTTTTACTTTTTTGTACAGGACCATGAAGGTTTATGTACAAGATTACATCTCTTTAGTTTCCTTTAATCT